AAAATTCTCCAAAAATTATCGAAGAAATACAAGTTTGGAGACTCTTAAAAAATTCCCGAAAAAAATATAAAAAACACGTTAGGCACTTTTAAAAATTCTACAAAAAATATTTGAATTCCACTATTGGAGACTTTTAAAAATTGCCCAAAAAAGTCTACTATTTCAAATATTCCAATGTTTAAAAATTTTTTTAAATTGTTCAAATTTTTTTAGATATGTTCGCCAGACGCCCTATTTTTTAAGTTGTTTTATATTATTTTTAATTTCAAATCCTAAAAACTTGAAACATCCTAATAAAATTTGTGTTAGATGCACACACACACATAAATGTAATACATACCCAATCGTAAACTGCAAACAGATCCATAATTAAATGAGCATGTTTCAATAAACGCCATCAACAGATGTGGAGCTTGAGTGGAAAATGGAAAGTGGGAGAGCATTTAAAGAGAATTTTCAATTTCCCTCCAACATTATTTTTATCTCTCTTTGAATTTTTTGTTAAAGAAAACAAAATTTTCAGCGCAGTGCCAAAATTTTTGTGTATGCCTTACTGAGGCAGTCAACCACCGCAGCACGTCGCACCAATTAATGGTACATCACGATGATGATGTTGGTGTTGTGTAGATCGCAACGTAATTTTCGTGAATAATGATGTTGACTTTGTAGAATAAAGGGAACAAACACAAAACTAATTTGTCAAATGATGCGTTTTTTGAATTTTGAAAATTGAAAGGGGACACACACGCACAATAGTGTAAATTTCACAAAAACTGGGCCACTGACAGCGTTGTGACCAATAATTTTTAAAAATCGTTTTCGATTCTAACGGTGTTAGATACAATTTTAGGGTTATCTTAAATTTGTTTTCATTAAATATTCACGTACTTATTTTAAACGAAATTTGAAACGCGACATAGACACGAAATTTATCGGAGAAAGGTTTTTAAAATACAAAATGTTCGAATATTTTTTTCAACATTATATTTTCAAATTTCTAACAAATTCAAATTTTCCAAAATTTTAGTTTTTTGTAGACAAGGAAAAAACGACGACAAATTTGGACGAAACACACGAACGTTCTAAATAACGCGCCAATTGCAACTGAAAGTTTGTCTTTTCGGGAAGAAAAGCGATTCGATTTGAAAACAGACAGAAATGCATTCAAAGCAAAAAAAATCTCTTTGAAAATTGATTTTCCCCCTCAAAATGACTCTCAGAAAATCGAAAAGAGTTTTTCTCAGGCCAAGCAAGTAGAGATGCTATTCTGGTATGCTTTGCCACCCCCACCACACCACAACCAATTTGTTTTTCATTTAAAATTCATCGCCACTTGAAACTGCTTGTTTTTCCAGATTTAATTCTATCGACGAAGAAATGAAAACTATTTGTTGGAAAAATCTTTGCATCTGTAATGTGAGCCACAAAAATGTAGACACCAAAAGAAAAATGGGACATTTTGTAGAGAGATGGGAATTGTATAAAATAAATACATGCAGTTGGTAGGTGACACTTCACAATGTGACAATGTGTTGAAAAATGTTATATGCTGCATCTGTGCGTAAGGATGATGTGTTTCAATCCAGGGAAAGTGTTTCCAAAGAGATCATCTCCGGTCTGAGAATACACAAGTATTACACAATGTGGGTCAAATTAACGGGAAAGTTGATTGTTTTAAATAAATAAGAACAAGTGTTTATGAACGGGGAGAAAAATAAATAAACCTACCAAATCGCTATTGTTCGAATCGGTTTGGAATGAAAATATTTTACTAAAAATTTCATATCAAAAGGCAACACTCAAAAATTAAAAGATGGAATGACTTTGTACCAGACCTCCGAAAAACTCTCTCGAATTCTTGTAAAGAGTGAAAGAAAACAATGAAACTATATTTTGCAGCTTCGTTCGTATAAAAGTGACACTTCATTGCTAGTGTTAAAGTGGGTGCAAAATTCGTTCGAAAACGAGCAGATTCTATACTTGCCGAACACTCTTTTAATTTTTGTCATATGTACAGGGTGAGATAAATGCAACAAAGTCAAACGCCATCATTTTTAATTTTTTTGAATGAAAGCAAAAAATTTTAGAATAAGTTTCGATTTGTTCGAATTGGTCACCTTTAAAACGAATTATGGCCTTCAAACGGTCAATGAAACCGTCACAGGCTGTCCCTCTAATTGTCATAGTATGCAATAATAACGGTAATGGGAAGCTCTGCTGTGCATAGTGGTGTATAGAATCACATACTAGGTTTAGGACACATTAAACTGACTCAGTGGCGTAACTCATTGAATTATCGTGTGTTATTCTAAAGGAAGGATATTCTTTAACAAATGTCTTTCATATCCTATATCTGAAAATTTCGCTCAAGTCGAATAATAACTTATATCTTCCCAGCTGGATTTTTTTTTTATCAAAATTATTGATTAAAAGTCATGACCAGTCGAGTGACCAAGGGTAACCAAGAGGCTTAAAGGATCTCAAGTCCTATACCAATACACCAATAATGTTGAAGTTGTAGATATAACTCATTCAAATTTTAGAGTAAGTTTAGATTTCTTCGAATTGGTCGCCTTTGACACGAATTATGACCTTCAAACGGCCAATGAAACCGTCACAGGCTGTCCCTCTAATTGTCATAGTATGCAATAATAACGGTAATGGGAAGCTCTGCTGTGCATAGTGGTGTATAGAATCACATACTAGGTTTAGGACACATTAAACTGACTCAGTGGCGTAACTCATTGAATTATCGTGTGTTATTCTAAAGGAAGGATATTCTTTAACAAATGTCTTTCATATCCTATATCTGAAAATTTCGCTCAAGTCGAATAATAACTTATATCTTCCCAGCTGGATTTTTTTTTATCAAAATTATTGATTAAAAGTCATGACCAGTCGAGTGACCAAGGGTAACCAAGAGGCTTAAAGGATCTCAAGTCCTATACCAATACACCAATAATGTTGAAGTTGTAGATATAACTCATTCAAATTTTAGAGTAAGTTTAGATTTCTTCGAATTGGTCGCCTTTGGCACGAATTATGACCTTCAAACGGCCAATGAAACCGTCACAGCTGCCCGAATGTTGCTCTGCGGTATTTTGGTCCATTCCCGGCGAAGCGCTTGCTTGAGGTGATCGACAATTTGGTATTTTTTAGGGTCAACCTTGCTTTCTAAAATCCTCCAGACAAAATAGTCCAACGAATTGGTATCCGGAGATGATGGTGGCAATTTCGCGCTGGAAATGAAGCTAGGAACCTCATATTGTAAACAATCTTGGTTGGCGCGTGCTTAGTGCGATGGTGCTGAGTCCTGTTGGAATGTTCAAGATCTGCGGCAAAAATGTTTGCGTGCCCAAGGTTTTAATACATCCTCCAGAATATTTTCACAATAATATTCGGCATTTATTCTGATGCCACGGTCGATGAATACGAGCGGAGAGCGCCCATCGGCTGTTATGGCGGCCCACGCCATCACCCTAGCCGGCGCTTGAGTTCTGGTGGCCAACCGAAGGTGCTGAGTTCTGTTAGAATGTCCAAGGTCTGCGACCAGAATGTTTGGGTGCCCATGGCTTTAATACACTCTCCAGAATATTTTTGCGATAATATTCGGCATTTATTCTGATGCCACGGTCGATTAATACGAGCGGAGAGCGACCATCGGCTGTTATGGCGGCCCACACCATCACCATGGCCGGCACTTGAGTTCTGGTGGTCAGCCGAAGGTGCACATTTCCAGCTGACGTCTTTGGCAAGTAAACACGATCATTTTGTTTGTTTACAAACTTCCAACGAATGTTTTCTCATCGGAGAAAACCAAATTCGCCAGTTCACCACTCTCTTTAGCTCTTTTGAGTCTATTTTCTTCCTGTTGCGGTGTAAGTTCTTGCACTTTTTGGAATTGCAATGGCTTTACCCCGAGCTCATTTTCCAATATTTGCCGAATGGAATATTGAGATATGTTAAGCTTACGAGCCATTTTTCGGCCACTGCGACATGAGTTTCGATAAAATCGCTTCTTTACTTTTCGGACCATTTCTGCTGATGTTGCTGTTTTCTTCCGTCCACTTCCTTGACGTCGGGCTACGCTTTGTGTCAAGGTGAAGACCTATCTCGCGGAGCTTGCTACATTGCCTAAATGTGCAAGTCGAGTGGCACATAATTCCGACCACTTACTACCCCGAAATGTCGAGAAATGAACTAGCATAATCTGAAGAGAGATGTTCAACGATACAAAAAAAGGTCTATAGATCAGGAAGCCTTTTAGGCAGGTCTAAATAGCATTCATACTTATGCAGTCGATGATCTAGTTAACCATTAATTTCAGTCGAAGTTTTGTTTCAACTACGTTCTGGATGGTGTAGCCGTCTCAATTCGCATTGTGCGCGAACTGAGGCCCGTCTGCCTAGCGTGTGATACAGGCCTGCACAATATGCTGCATCTTTTTTTATTACCCTGACAAAACCAACTCACTCCAGAGGTTCTTTTCTACAGTATATAATATATTCTCCAACGAATATTTCTGAGAGTTGCAAATGGAATGACAAATTAAAATACGCTCCATTTTATGACGGAGATCATTAAAATTCTGCAAATATACATAATTGAATGAGTAGCTATATCAACAAATTTAATATTTCAAAATTTCCTCTTTTAACATATAAAAAATTAGTTTTTCTTTATTACTTTTACATTTTACAAAATTAATATAAATATACAAATTTTATGGTTTTCGTTTTATTTTTACTTTTAGTTTAGCATAAAAATTTGCTATAAAAATATATATGTGTATATATATAAAAACTTTGTATATGAATTTACATATTTATATTGTATATAACTAGGACATATTTATTACATAGTTTATTGTCTAAAATATCAAATAAAATGAAAAATATTTATATATTTATAAAAAATAACACACATGCATACATACATACAAAATTTGGCAAAACATTTGAGCATTACATATATAATTGCTTATATATTTCTTCTTTATAAAAAAAATATCATTAGTATGGTTAGTTTGTTTAGTTTTATTAAGGCGCCTTAGTGGTTAAGTTTAAAAAGTTCCTTGGGGACTTTTTGTTAAAAAATGTTACGTTTCTTTTTTTAATTTAAGACACTGGTTTTTTATTGTAGGCTTTGTTTTGTTATGAAAAAATAATCACAAAGTATTTCAAAAAAATTGAGGTGGACAACAGGCAAGTCAAACACTAGCAGGGGAGGAAAAGGCATTGGGATGTTATAGAATCTGTTTATGTTGGCAAAGATGAAAGTCATTGCAAAAATCATTCTATATTGTCAGACTTTGCATTTAGTTTGTACATGAGAAATACTTTTTGAATATCAAACAAAAATGTAAGAGTAGATAATTTCATATTTTCCAATACAACAGATTCCATAACAACCCTTTTAATGTAATTATTATGTTTACTCAAATATAAAACAACTTAAAGCTATGCTTATGTTTTTATAACAATAAAAAAAAACTAACATTAAAATTATCATAAAATTTTTAAATACAATTTCATTGTCAAGTTTACACACATAAAAAGTTTTCATTTAAAAGATTTACATGTTTTTAGATATAAAAATACATTTTGCATTTTTTTAGAAATATAATAGAAAAAAGATTTGGCATTAAATAATCACCCCTTGGCGGAAGATTCTCGTACAAAATCCACTTACAAGTTGGTGAAAAGAATAAATTCTAAAGAAAATATAATATTAAGTGGAAAGAGTATTTAGAATTATACGATTCACCGTTTATAGAAACGACTCACAATAAAACTCCTTAGATAATAAGAGAAAAAAGGGTTAGAAATGAAAAGAGCACATTTTATGCTCTAGCGAAAGAACACATTTTTATATGGGAGCTTATTCTTGTTCAAAAAAGGAAAAGGTAAGGCAAATCTAACAATTGAGATGGGAATATATACATAATATTTTAGGCGTTAGAAAAACATGTTAATAGATTTGCCGAGCTTCCTTTTGAAAATGTTTTGTCACATGTCTTCAAAAATCCCTTAGAAGTTGCTTCTTTCTCCATAGCGAAAAAAGATTCGGACCTTTATATAAAATTCTACAAAAAAAATAGCCCACTTTTTCTGGAATAGGAGGATGGATGCTATGTAAGAACCCTTCTTGATAACTCAGAGTTTTGTTCAATGTAGATTTTATCTCAAGTAATGTTAAACTCAGGTTTAACATGTTGAAACTTTTAAAACAAAAAAATATTCCTCCATACATCTTTAATTGAAAACGTACAATTAAAAGAATATTTTTTAATTTAGATCGTCAGGTAAGAGGAGCCAGCGCTAGTGTCAGTAATTTTTTATGAATGTAATAAGCAGAACGGAAGTGTTAGATCCATAACGTGTTGCTTGAAAAGATAGAGATTGTGTATCAAATATTCTGCAGGTGTTTCATGCTGCAAAACTAAAGACACCGACTCTTTAAAAAAAATAGATCTGGTAAGACTTCCGAGGCTATCTATACGTTTTTGCAGTATTATCTCCTAACAAGAGCATTACAGGATATTGTAGAGTTTTCTACTTATGTCAGACTAGAAAGAAATAAAGGTGAGAAAACATTTAATCTATTGGCTGAACAACAAGATAAAGGCATGTGAACCTCAGAACTTTCCCAAGAATCTTTCTTGGCTTAGCTTCTTCTAGTCACAAGCAGATGTCCAGAATGAACCCAGTGGGACAGAGGTGGACGAGTGGAGAGGCTGGCGTTTGCAGACGTTCGGTGTTTGATGCTGTGCAACCAAAGACACCGGCTCTTTGAATAATACGAGATAGAACGTCTTAGCTTCTCTTAAGATGTATATATCCAACTTTCACACCAAAACACGATGAAAGACAGGAGCCTACTGAATTGGATCGAACCCTACGAGGATCCCAAGAATCCAAGAATTCCCAAGAGTCTTTCTAAACTTAGCTTCTTCCAAACACAGGCGGATGTCCAGATTGAACCCAATGGGCCAGAGGTGTCCGAGTGCAGGGACTGGCGTTTGCACTAAGCTTGGTAATCATTTTGCGATAACACAAAACATTTGCACGGAAGAAGTTCTAAAATAAAAGGACCGCTTCTAAATCAATCTGATTTGGCTTTCAAAAGATAACCGATTAAAAAAAGGTTTGTTATTCCAAGCACGTAATTTTCCAAAATAAAATCTGACGACGCTATTTACAAAATTTACAAGCAGATTTCCTTCATTGGGTAATGGGTTATCACAACACAGAAGGGAACAGAGAGCAGAAGTATTTTCGGATAATGGTTCATAGTCTTCAGGTCTTTATGTAATGCCCCGTCCTTGATCACTTCGTTAGAGCATTGAGACCATGATAATATCGGACGACAGGTCATAACTATTTTCAGTACAAAATAAGTCTTTCACTTCATCCACTAGCTTCCAATAGTTTTTCCATTCAACTATCCTAATCAAATTTCCCATCCCAATTATATTTTCCCCAATTCTCAATTATCCACTTGACTATTATTGTTATTCTCCTTCTGTCGATACTTTGTCGAATATTTATAAAAATCGGACATTTCAAAAGGTTTTGTAACCTCTTTGTAGGGCTGAAAAGTGGCCGGTTGAACAACGGTGACATTTTTCGGTGATTCAACGCGAATATCTGGCGACAAAGCCGAGGCTGATGAGCCAGCAACACCACTCAACAAACCCGTTGTGGGAGATGCCGACGTTTGCAATGTACCCGATGTTGTAGCATTTATATAAAGTGGTGGTCTAGCCGGCGGCTTATTGGTATTACCCGTTGAGACGGGTAAAAATTTATACGCTATAGGAGTTTGAGGTGAGACAATTTCTATATTATAGGCTTGTGATATTGAGGGTGTGTTATTGTTATTATTTACTGGTGTTCCAGCAGTAGCCACTGCATCCATTTGATTTAGATACGATGTGGATTGACTTAATTTTGCGGCTTGGGCGGAATGCGCCAGCGGAGAATGAGAAGCTGCTGCTGCTGACATAGAATAATGCCTTGAGGTATTTAGAGAATGTGAAGAAAGTTTTGAACGTTGATGTCCCGTAGAGCTGGTATTGCTATTGTGATCTGTGTAGTTTTCTTCGTTTGGATGTTGTGCATGGCTGTGGTGATGATTTGTTTGTCTTATCACTGGTCCATCTAGGGACGACTCTAACCATTGTTTGGGTTTGGTTTTCTTTTGCGTCTCTGTGGAATATCCTGAATTTATGGAAATATCATCGAGGGGCTTAAAGGGTTTCACTTGGGTAACATGTGGCGGATGTTGATTGGAAGATCCCGGCGGTGGAGGCTGTATGGATGTATTGTAGTATTGATTATTATTCAACATATCACTGGAATATGATTTCATGTCGGCTGAAGTTGTCCCACTAGATGGGGGTAGATTTGTTTGAGATTTCCATCGTTGCTGTTGTTGTTGGTTTGCCTGTGATGTTGGTATTGTCATGTAGTCAACCGTTTCCATGGAAACATAGGATGGTGCCAACGATATGGCATCTATGGATGGAGTATTGACACGATTGGAAAGATTTGTTTGTGAAGTTAGGCGTTTGTCTCTTGACGGGTGTCCCATTAGCTGTTGCGGATGCTGCTGTGGTGAATTCATTGGCGATATATATTCTTTGATATTTTGACTGGACTTAATGAATCCCCCGCCGTCGTTGTGGGACACATGATGGGAAGTGGGTGACAGATAATATTTATCACATTGCACTATGACGGGCTGTTGCTGCTGAGCTTGTCTGTGTAGGGTGGCCACATTATTAGAGTTCAAAGAATATAATGAAATATTGTCCATATGTGATGCGATTGCTCCATGACCAGGGGGTGTCAAGAGTAGCTGTTGCTGTTGTTGATGATTGACATTTGAGCTTGCCGAGCTTTGGGTGTTGTAATTCATGTGATGTTGTTGTTGTTGCTGCTGAGAATGATTTGGAGATTGTTGTTGGGCATGGTGATGTGACTGCTGCTGCTGTGCTTGGACTTGGCCCTGGGGGAGTTGATTAGATTTAATATAGCGACCATATTGCTGCTGTTGTTGATGTAGCTGTTGCTGCACCGTCTTTTGTTGTTGCTGGGCAACTTGTTGATGCTGCTGCTGTTGTTGTGATCCACCAACCGATGCAGCTGATGAAGTGGTTGGTTGTGTCGGCTGCAGGGTGGTATAATAAAATTTCTGTGTGGCATATTGCAAATGTGGCATTAAAACCTGATGATGTTCAATGTGTTGTTTGAACAAATGTTGCTGTGGATGATGATAGTGTTGTTGTTTATAGAGATTATGATTTTGCATCAGTTGTTGTTGGTGTTCCATATAATGTTGCTGCCTTATCATTTGTAAGCTAGTAGCCGATTGTTGTGTGGTACCCGCCACAGTGGCCGAACGTTTTTTCAATGCCGATTTGGCATTATATTGCTGCTGTGCCTGTTGGGCATGTTGCATTGTCATCGCCGAGGAAGTGGAACCACTGACACCCCTTGCACCACCACCGCCGCTGGCTGCACCCTCTGAATGTGTCGATAAGTTATCCTGATGCGGATAATTGTCATATTCCGAAGAACGATTTGAGATTTCCGATTGTCTGCGATGCAAAACATTGTGATGTTGTTGATTTTCTTTGGCCGTTAGGGGTTTACGTCTCAGGATGGCCTCTTCACCACCACCACCAATACTACTACTGCCACCTGTAATTGTTGACTCGGTAGTTGCCTGCTCCTGTTTATATTGGGTATTCAGGCTATGTATGAACTCGTTGAAATTCATATATTCAAAATTGCCATTTAGAATTTCGGTCTCCTGCTTTTGCAACTGCTGCAGTAGCCAATTTTTCTCATTCAACAATTTTTCCAATTCCAATTTTCTTTGTTGCAGATTTTCCTTTTTCGCCTTGGCTTCATTGGGATGCATTTTGTTGGCGGCATTGGACGATGAAGTAGACGACGTATTGGCGGCACTTGCCCCATTATTATTGCTATTATTACCAGATTGTTGATTCAAACAACTACCGGCATTTGTGTTGTTGTTATTGTTTGTCTGCGTTGCTGACTGGGGCTGCTGTGTATTACGCGTTGTTGAACTGGCATTATCTTCATCATCATTTACCAAACTACTAGCCATATTTTGGGACTTTCTATTTGCAATTTTGCTTTGTTTGGAGTCTAAAGAGTCTGTATGATTTTGTGTTTTCAATTTCAAATGCATTTAGGTCGAGAGTGTGATTGTGTGGGTGGTGTAAGAATCTCTGTGAGATGTGTGGTTGGAAATGGAAATGATTTATTATCAAATCATGGCCGACAACATCAATGACGACGACAACAACAACACCACCAATGAATTTTTTGAGTTATGATACCCCTTGGGCCAGTTCATTGTCCTCATAATCCTTGCTTGTATCGACAACCCCAAAACTCATCTAACCTGCATTAGGCCCCCTGTCTGTTTTCTTTTGTTACCCTAGAAATAGAACAATGGAAGCAGCATTAAAGCTTTTGTATTTTGGGAAATTTGTGTGTTTCAATGTTAAATTTGTGGTTAGTTGGGAAAAGAACATGCAAATGAAAAGTGAAAGAAACCCGTTTACCATAATATGAAACAAACACCAATTGATTTAAGGTAAATAATATGATAACGATCTCGCCAAACAACGCTTATACACAGCAGCTTAATAATAATTTACAAGAATAAACTTAAATGCTATTTCACAACATATGGGGGAGGGACAATTTTGTAATGCAATGTTTCTTTAAGGATAGGCTTAATTTCAATTGGAAATGCTTACTTATAATACTTTTTAGTTTCTACGAAAATGTGGATGCTACGAAATTGGGTTTGTTTTTACACCGGATCTTGTAATTGAGATTTATATTTCCCACCTCCATGTGATGGTACTAATAATGATTTAAGAGTTTATATTTTAATACGGAATAGTGGTTTGAACTTTCAAATGGGTTTTTGGGTTTACGCAGGACTTCGCAATATGTGTTAAGAGGTAATGCTTCTGTATAGTTACTTTTGTGGACTTTTTAGTCACACGCCGCACGCAGGACTAAAATCTATCAGTTTATAACACTATACAAAGATTTTTAGAACCAATCTATATCAAATGGTGTAATGTGTGGAGAACATGGGAGGTCGGGCTATAGCCAGTGATTATATATCACCTAGGCATATTTTCGAATCACTGGACATATATGTACCCAACAAGGATACCAGGACCCGGAACACCACCTATTGTTGGTATAGCCGTCTATATTGATGGTTTGAAGATGGAAAGTGAAACGGGGACTGTAAATGCTTGGATATCCGGAGATCCTTTAATTGATTAATTAAACAATGAATGCAGCGTTTTTCAGGCAAAAATCTTCGATATCAGGAAAGTAATGGAGCTACTGGAAAATAGAATCAATGAACTGAATAGACCGGTGACTATATGTGTCGATAGTCAGGCGGCCTTGAAAGCTCTTAATTCTTTTACATTTAAATCTAAGCTGTTCTGGAATGCAGAAATGATCTGGAAAAGTTCAAGTCTTCTTTCAAACTTTGTTGGGTCCCCGGTCATTTTAACATATCTGGTAATGAATCAGCAGATGAATTGGCCAGACGCGGATCTTAATCAGTAGATCTGGTCTGTCGCTTCTTCCAAGTATTACACAAGCACTACCTTGTGGGATTCAAACAGAACTAGCTGTCTCCAAAAAACTATGACCAGTGATCTTCGAATGGAAGCGACGACACCGAATACTGCAGGCTTTGTCAGGACGAGGAGGAAGCCGAGTCGGTGGAGCACTTACTCTGTCACTGTCCAACTCTCTTTGGAGCTAGACAGAGGCTACTGGGTAAGCAAATTCTAACACATTTTTACTTCAAATAGGATGAAAACAATGGACCAGCAGGTCTCCGAGGTCTCAAACATCCAAGCATCCTTTAACCTAAACTAATGTGTGAACATTCTCTACTAGACCTCTTTTTGATATATTAGCACCCCAACAGCTATCAACATAATTCCAAACCTTGACGTATAATGGTACATTTTGATTTAAAGTTGAACAAAAAGCGTTAATTACTATGCAGTAACGTAATCGGCATTTGCAAACTTTAAATATTGTTAGAATAAGTGGCTCGAAATACCGAATATCGGGAGGTACCGTTACGTCTATAGGAAAAGGTGGACCGACGTTTTCTCTTTACTAACTTGAACTGCCTACTCAATTCGTTCGGACGATAACGTGATTAAAACTGATATAAACACAACGACGTACATCTCGAAACCGGAATGACAAAGCGAATATGCCCTTTATAGTATGGCGGGGGGATTCAAAAATTCGTAAATAGTCAAAAAGTGTCCTTATGTCCCTGCAGGCAATAGCCAACAATTATCTCTAAAACTTACTACATTATCGATGTATTGATATAGAACTTGAGAGTCATTAAGAGGTCAATTGATCTATCATACCTTTGTTAATAAAAAATCCAGCTTGGTAGATTAAAGCTATTTTTCGACTTAGCTGAAATTTTCATATATAGATATTTGTTAAAGAATATACTTCCCTTAGTATAACACACGATAATTCAATGAGTTGCGCCGCTAAGTCACTTCAATGTGTTCTAAACCTAGTATATGATTCTTAACACCTCCAGTAGTTATAAGTACATATTATGCCTAAGGAAAGGCTTAAATCAATATCATTTTGTCCCAATTTATCCTATTCGAAATTTGGTTGCTTGATTCAAAAATGAATCCTAGTTGTACAATCGTATCATAGCTGAGGCACATTTTCATCAAATCGGAAGAAATTATTCGTGGGAGCTATGCCTTAATTGTTTGTAATAGGCATATATAGGTGTTATAGCCAGATTTCTTACAACCAGATCTAACCGACAAACTTCTAACATTTATATGAAATTTTTCCTGAAGATTTTACGCAATCGGCAGCCATATCAAAAATGGAAAACATGCTGGTGTAGTCTGTAGCCACGAAACTTTAAAATTCATATCTACAATCCATGTGGTTTTTATTTTTGTGAGATTCCACGTGCTATTTTCTGATCATATGGTCCTCTAAATTTAAAAATAAATGTTCTGGGGAGAATTGGGTAGGTTTGGTAGGCAATTGAATTGCATCAGTAGAAATGCTACTCAGACCTATCTGATAAACTTCTTGATCTAGACAATATCTTATAACTATGGATCATGCAGGTCCTTCCTGACACACCAACGAGGATCTTTTCACCATACAATGCTTTGGATGACTTACGCTGTAACACCAAAGCATGCACTTTAACGAAAGCATATGCTTATGCTGACGACCAGCGTCAATAATGTTCCCTCGAGAATCTTATAGACTTATGCTCCTGGAGGATATGAGTTCCACTCATACCGTACAATCATCCTTGGGGAACTCACCGATTCCCTCGACGTGATTCGAACTTCTTGTGCTTGTGACGGCACTTCCGATTTTCTTGCAACTAATTAGTCTATATTCTGGAGAAAAAACTTTTCCGAAATTACAAGTGTATGAAATTACAAGTGTACCTGTGTTTGCCAAATGGTTTTTGTTGTCATATTCGTACGTATTTGGCATCGTTTTAAAAAAGTATTTGAATCCAAATATTTTTGATTTTGAAAATTAAAATTTTCTACCAGACTGTTCACAATTTATAACAACAGATCCTGTAAGGTATTTCAATTAATTTATCCGATTGTATGTCACTATTATGGAAGAATATAAAGATGTGTCTCTTAAAGAAACTTTTTGTGGACTTTCTAAAATAATTAGGTTTTTCTAATGGTAGTGGTCCGCGGAGGAATGTTTTCCTCATACACTGTTGGGAGGTTTAAATCAGCGCCAACAAAATATAAACATCTATCAAAAAGATTAAGGAGGAGATAAACCTTTTGGTATTTCCATTGTGAAAGCTTGTTGAAAAATAATTGAAAACAATTTGTTGTTCATCAATCGCACTTCCCAGTTTTGTTCATGTCGCTATAAACTATAGAGCCCCCACACACATATTGTGCTATAAATAATATCACAAATGTATTGGGAAGCAGATATGTACACAAACACTTGGTGTGCTTTTAATCAAAATATTTTGTTGGAGTTTCCTCTTTATCACAATTGTGGGAATGTAAACAAAAAAAGAAACAAGATTGCATTACCCAACACTGGCAAAGAAATGCATAAGCAATTAACCACGCCTTCCAACACTCAACGCTACATAAATTAATAAGATCTTTTTCGCTTATATGCACACCCCTACACAAAACAAAAAACTTATTAATAATAAACAACAACAAAAATAAGGCTTACCTCGTTTCTAAGTTAATAGATTTCGTTTCAAACAACAAGCTGGGCTTTTTTGTGCGATGACACCAACTTTAAAAATACATTATTGAGGAGGAAAACAACAACAGCAGAATAGCTAGCTTCAATACTGATTCTTGAAGTCATTCACACACGAACTGAATGCAGCAGCAGCAAACACACATTCAGACGCAAAGACATATCACAGCAGGTCGAAAATTAATGAAACTGTAAACATTTAAGGAAATCAATAAATGTTTAATAAACAATTCCAAGACTTTTTTAACAACATGAAAACTTTACCACTTTTTCTAATGACAGCTTGTTTCTGCTGCTGGCTAATGAAGTTTGTTGGTGGTGTTTTAATGGAAAATTAAATTTCTTTCTCACGCACACAAACACATTCATATACAATTTTGACATCAATTTCTTTTCTTAAAATTATAGCTTTTAGCGGATTTTTTTTACAATTTTATTAACTTTTCTTAATAAATGTTTAGTTTTAGAACTTGTTTTCGTTGTTACATTTCTATTCTTTATTCAAATCAAATAAATAAATGGTGATCAAATCAAGCGAACAGAAAAAACAATTATCAATTATTCGACCAAAACTAAAGAACTAAGCTGGGAGAAATTATTTGCGGCGTCCACAGGAAAATAGAACGACGCCGTCGTTATTGTCATGGAAACGAAGGGCGTATTTACATTACGGCGATAGTGCTGTTAGTGGGAAACGCAACGTAAAAATAAATTATAGAACTTATTAATTATTTTGAATATCAATCATTATTTTGTATGACATTTTGTTTCATTACAGGAAATGCAGAGGTGGGAATGCTAATTTGAAATGATCCATGGCAAAACCGGGTCTACTAAATATACTATAAAGAGGTATGCTAGAACTCCCGGCAGATTACAATTTTTTCTGACTGTGGCGACTTCTGGAAATTTTTAGCTCATTTCCAAAAGCTACAAGAATCTTTAGTTTTGAAATATTTTCAATGCCATAAAGAGAAAATCCTATATAGTAGTAAAAACTTTTACATTCTTGTGGAGAACTAGCCAGTGTGTTTTAACTCATTTTAAAAGTGAGTGTACCCACAACCATTAGATAAAAAACATTTTTAAATAAAAGTATATATATTCAAACGTGTTCCACGTTAATCTGACAATACCAACTGGAACCCATTACTAATAAACATATTTAGACCATTCCTATATGGACAGTTACAAACTCTTAATACAAAATTTGGAATAATTTCGTGAATTAATTTGACAAAAATCATAAAAATGCTGAACAGCATGAAATCCGTTATATGGCAGCTATACGATAACATGGACCGATATATCTCATTTTACTAACCAACATACTAACCGTTCTAGGAAAACTATTGTGTCAAATATCAATGTTGTATCGTGATTTCAACAGAGAGACAAACGAATATCATTAAATCCACAATAGAGTTTTATGCTGATCATGAATATACATATATACTCAATGGGATAAACACGAATATTTAGAGGTGTTGCAAACGGAATGACAAATTTAATATACCCTCCTTTCTAAGGTAGACAGTGCAGTATCATAAACAAACATAAACACAGCACCATTTTTTCCCCAAAAAGCAATAATTGTATTTTTGTTATGTTGTTAGTTTATTTTATTATTCATTAGATATTTAAAACGTACGTCACTCCGGGGAACAGAGTATTATGTTTAACCTTTATAACATTTTCAGGCTGAGCAATGGACATTAGCCTAAATCGCTTGCCGGATTTAATAATGTCGGTCATTTTAGAGATCTGAACACATAAACGATGTGGTCGTAAGTTTTACCTGGCAATTTGTGCTCCATTTGGCTCTTGTGTCTACGTCCTTTGGAACGGAGAAAAATTTACATTTACATTCAAACAATTTTTTTTTGCAAACCTTGCAGACTTTCAGGCTTAACTCTAGTTTAGTAAAAACTCTTCAATTTTTTCGAAATTTTTTCCAGTGGTAGGTATTTTTACCCTGATCCCTGGAAACTATTTTTTTCTTGGGGGACGGACCTGGGACCCCAGACCCGAAAGTCCGGGTTCAAGACCCCGACTCCAATTACCCGATATAGACAATATAAATATCATTGGAAAGCTTATGAAAAAGTTATAGTCAAATTATCGATTTTTTTTGACCCCGTTTTTTTTTAAATCCCCAAAAAGTCAAAAAAGGGTCAATTATGGGGGACAACACAATTGATGCCAAATTATAGCTGACACTCTTACTTTTCCAAAATGTCTACCTTTCTAATCTAAAAACAGCTGTTATTTTACCAGATGAAATGTCAAAATTCATGCTTGAGGCGAAAATATTTTCGCCTCGACAGAAGAATTTTGTGGCGAATACGTTTGTTGTCAATTTTGGATTGGAAAATGCAAATCTTACATATTCTCAATGTATATACTTTGAAATAAAAACTAGTTGTCTTTTTATGTATATTTTTCAATTTTTTTCTTTTCACAACAAATTTAAAATGGCCAACAAATTTTGTTTGTTTTGACGTTTGTTTTGGTTGCAGGGAATTCAAATATAATTGACAGATCGTTTGGTAATCAGCTGAGCTGGAAGGGGGACCTTATACTTGGATCATAGACGACCTAATAATTGGGCCATGTTTATGCAGAACAAATAGGAAACACAAGGTACGAAAAAGACCCACTCGCGTTGCCATCTTGGAAATTATTTATCCTCAATTAAGGAGGTCTGATTATGGAATGATTAACTTTTGTTTGAAAGTATAATTTTGCGGCAGCTAGCATAATTATGAAGATCGACAATATAGCGGCTTGCTTTACAATAATGTTGGTAGAAGATTTTCATCCCGACTTTTTAGTCGAATTGATATAAATTTCAATGCATTTTTTTTCAATTTTTTCAAATTTATACATTTGACAACATCTCATTGTCAAAATCTATATTCATAAATCAATTGTATACACACAAAATCAGAGATGGGAACTGTTTTTTATGCATTGAAAATTGACAAGGTAAATTACAGAAAATGCAAAGCTGGGAATGCTAATATGAATTTCATTATACCATGATAGCAGGTATCGTGAAGATTTTGTCAACAAATTTCAGCCGGTTAATCTGGGATTTGATCTCTAAAGACTGACTTAAAATAAAACTAAATTCGAGGACTGCACGAGTGCTTCCTTAAGATGAATGATTTAAAATATCTATTTTTTGTGTGTTTAAGCTTAAAACAAGATAAATAAAATTCGTCTTCCTAAGACATGAAACATACTTGCCTAGGAACGCTGAAAATAATAGATTATTATTTTTGTAAAATTTGCTACTCGTCACACGTAAGTATTTAAGATGTGAAAACAAATTTTATTTGAAAAATGACCAGTAAAAACGTAAAATTATGAAAGAAAAGTCTCTATCATGATCCAAGTATAAGGTCCCCCTTCCAGCTCAGCTGATTACCAAACGATCTGTCACTTAAATTTGAATTCGCCGCATCCAAAACAAACGTCAGACAAATGTCAAAACATGATTTTTACTGTTATGCGAAAAGATTTGTTTTGCCATTTTAAATTTGTTGTAAAGAGAAAAAGGAGAAAAAGAAAAACATACAGTGAGCCACATAAACGTTGCAATAAAGTAAATTTAATTTATAAAAAAGAAACTAATTTCTTTTTATTTTAAAAAATAGAAATGAGAATATGCAAGATTTGCAAAAAGAAAGAGGTGCCAGGGAAAAGTTCATTTTTTTCCGCCCCCAAGGACGAAAAAATGAGGGCAAAATGGAGTGAAATTTGTCAAGTGAAGTTTACATCCACATCACAGGTGTGTTCGAACCATTTTAATATGGAGCATGTGGTAAAATCCGGCAGCAAATATAGATTAGCAAATATAGGATGAGGGATTATGACAATATGTTATTCAATTTCTTAAACGCAATATTGGCTTATTTTTATTTATATTGTGAAAATAGAGCACACATTTTTAATATTATGGAAACGGCTTCCGATATGGATATGTCATTACAGGAATGTACAAAAAGTGTCTCCCAAGAAAATCCGACCAAAAATTGTAAAGACCAGGAAACACAGACTGAGTAATATGAAATAAGTTCCAATAAATTCATAATAATTTTAAGATTGTTGTAAATGTTTACAGTCCCGTCATTTTCGCAGCTGAAATGGACGCGTACCTAGAATTGATAAAGGAACTGCGAAATCAAAACAAGGAATTAAACAAAGAGCTCTTGCAAGCTAACCGGGGCCTTGATTCCTTGAAGAATATTTTTACGGACGGCCAGATGAAAAAATTAAAATGTGGCACAATGGCTAAATGGGAGTGGAAAGACATTTCCAGCGCAGTTTGTTTGCACGCGGCTGGCCCTAGAGCATATAGGCATCTTTACAACAAGGGATATCCTTTGCCCTGCACCTCAACGTTGTATCGATGGTGCAATAAAATATGTGTAAAGGAAGGAATCCTGTGGTCATCTGTTGAGTTCATGCGTCAAGTAAATTATATTTCGTTAGATGACAAAATATGTGTTTTGTCATTTGACGAAATGAAAGTTACGGAAACGTATGAGTACGACTTGCATAATGATATTGTACGGAAACCGGCAAATTATGTGCAGGTCGTAATGGCAATCGGGATTAAAAACTCGTGGAAGCAGCCAGTATTTTATGACTTTGACTGTAAGATGTCAAAGCAAATCCTACTACACCTGATATCGGCTCTGAATGAAGTAGGTTACCCTGTAGTGGCTGTTGTTTGTGATATGGGTCCAACCAATCGGAAGTTGTGGAAAGAGTTTGACATAACTTCAGGTAAAAACTTTTAAAAGACAGAAATGAAACATACACCACTGCACAAGTCATAAATGGTTGTTAATTTTCAGAGTCATCGATTTCTTACAGGAAAAATCAGACAACTCTGAAGCAATCGGTAATTAAAATGTTAACGTAAAGTTATTTTAAGTAATTAGCATTCTAATTTTGGTACAGCATGGTTTCATTTACATTTATTTTCATTCATTGCCATTAGTAATGCTTTTGTGGTTAATTGACTATTTTTTTAATATTACTTAAAAAGGGAAATATTGATTAAATAATGTAAGAATTTTCTATCTCATCCTATTTAGAAAAGCCATGGTTTCCACATCCAACTAATCCAGAAGAGAAAGTATTTACATTTGCGGATGTTCCTCACTTATTAAAACTCGTAAGGAACCACTTTCTCGATTCAGGCTTTGTTGTAAACAATAAAATTGTTACGTCCAAAACGTTGGTGGATTTGATGAAACACACAAACAAAACGGACACTTCAATAACCTTTAAATTGACTGAAGAACATCTTTCAGTCAAAGGCGCAGGTATACAGACAAATAACTTACATCGTAACGTTCACTAGAAACTTCAATTTCAGGACGACAAAAGGTGAAATTAGCGTGCCAGTTATTTTCACATACAACAGCAAATGCCATAAGAAGATGCTACTCATTAGGTATGGACATTTACAATGCAGTGGAAACAGCAGAATTCATTCAGCTAATAAACGACTGGTTCGATGTGCATAATGCGTCATCGAGTACGTTTGGTATAACTGGAAAGGTAAATTGGTACAATGTATTGGAATATTGTAACTTTCATTTAAATTTATAGGAGCCTTTTGGAAATAATTTGGAAAACCAAAACAATATTTTAGCCCGCATGAACAAACTAATGTCGGTTCCGATTATACCCAACAAAAAAACCATTGAATTCTTTCAAAAAGGAATACTTATTTCTAATAGTGCACTTCAAATGCTATATGAATACCTAAAAAAATATGATATTAAGTATATCCTTACAAGACGTCTGAACCAGGATATGTTGGAGCACTTCTTTGGGGCTATACGGAGCAAAGGTGGTCTCAATGATCACCCCACTCCGCAAGATTTTAAATATCGGATACGAAAATACATACTGGGTAATTTATATTGTGTTTCCTTTTTAATTTTCAAATAAATGAGAATGTATTGTCTTTTTAGCACGTAATACGGAATTGCTTTCTGGCACTGGTAACGTTGAAGGTGATGCTACGGAATGGATAAATGCAAGCTCGGACGACACGGCAATTTTTAATCAAAGTTTTTCGTACATAGGGCCTTCTCAAGATGATGGTTACGAGGAGGTTTTGACGCAGACACTAGAAGTCCCCGGTATAAGTGAAACGGATATTAGTGACATTGGTATTCTTCAGGAAGATGCTTTGGAATATATATCAGGATATATAATACGAAAGTTGAATCTTGAAGAATACGAATGTCACGAAAATTCGTTTACTTGGGTTGATCAGGTGTCAAAGGGGTCGCTAAAGAAACCATCAGAAGCTTTCCTTTCGCGTGTTAAAATGATGGAAATAAATTTTAACAAATTAAATGGGGGTACAATATCCTACTCATCTAATCTGCGAAAGCAGTTAATGGAGGAAAGCATCGGCATCGACTTGCCCACCCATGTTAAGGAATTATTTTTTAAATGCCGAATATATTTCCGCGTTCGCCACCTAAATAAGAGGCTTAAGGTCCAAAAAGCCAAACAAAGAATAATGGGCTACAAAAAGTTATTGAAAATCAATTTATAAAAATGTAAGTTCATATTAAAATTTATATTTTATAATCATCGATATTCTTACAATAATTTTTTATTTTTAGGCTTCACTATATTGTGGGTAATTGGCTAATTACGAAAGCCAATCACCATCACCATTATCTCTGGTAACCAAAGACTTTCCCAAATGTGATATTTATTTGATTAAATCAAAGCAAAACTAATTTTTAAAATGTACAATATTGTTAGTGGTACTTCCGATTTTGATAGCATATAAACTGGGAATTTCAAATATAAATATGGAATACATTACATTCATTCGGTGCTGTCTTACCTGAGCGTACAAATATGTTTTCTTATTTTATGGATATATCCAGTCCAGAAATTTCGTCACAAATTGCAGACGTAATTGAAGTTTGTCACGCAATCTGCTGAATATATATATTTTTGTACTAAATGTCATCCCCTTTTTTTTCTAATTTCATTGGAGTGGGACATTCACATCGTGTTTCAGAAAAATCCTTATGGTTTTTGGAAAAAATAGTCCTAAAGAAATCCAAAATTATAGCTTTTAAAACTCTTTAAAACTATAGTCCTTATAAAAAAATATTTTTAGAATATCCGCAATTCCAGCCTACAAAATTGCCGTTTGTTGCCCCTATATTCTTTTAGAAGATAAAGTGATTGATACACTCAGCTTTTTTCCGTTTATAAAAATATATTTTGACATGTTTTATTATTATTCAAAATGTTAGCCTTCTAAAGGAGAGCTACTCCATCAGTAGGACAATAGTGTCCATTTCGCTTATGTACTTAATTTGATATAAATTTGACAATAGATTCTTATTTCACATTTTATAATAGTTATTATTATTCCAAATGTTGACCCATTGTGGGGTAGGTATTTGATGCCATCAGATCTTGTTTTGCTAGAAATATTGGTAAATGCACAGTTTGAAAATATTCGGAAGCTTATTTCGCATTTTATGAGCGTTTTGGCTACTCAAAATATTGATCTTTTATGGGGGAGGCACTACTTCGAACAAGATATATGTTTGATAATATTACGATGCACCAAGTTTGGATCAAATTGGATACCCCCTCGAGAGTTATCGTGCGCACTAACCAGCCAGACAGACGGATCGACGGACATCCCTGGATCGACTTCACGTGTTCCGAAACGGATTTGGTCCATAGCGTCTAAAACCGTTCCATTTTCCATTCCATTTCCAAATTCCAAATTTAATGCTTTTCGCATAGTTATTTTTTCCAGAATGAACGTCAAAAAATAAAAGAATTACTTGTTTTGTTTTTCGATAGACTGACTCTCGCGGCAGCAGCACTATTATTCATACATTTCCCAGTCCAGTTGTCAAAATTTGGCAACAAGCATATTCGCCACAAAATTCTTCTGTCAAGGCGAAAAATTTTATTTTCGCCTCGAGCATGAATTTTGACATTTCATCTGGTAAAATAACAGCTGTTTTTCGATTAATTCGCTCGAAGGAAGACCTTATAATTGGGCCATGGTCTCTATTGAATTTGCCAACAGTGTTGCTATCGGTAGAACCATGGTAGAAGAAAATAGACAGTTGAATCGACACAGCTGCTGGGGCAATGAACAGTCAACATAAATTTAAATTTGAAAATGTTGAATGAAAAGTTATTCAAATTCGTAAAAAAATGTTTAAAAATTAAAAATCATAACAATCTCCGATTGGCGTTATACAAGAAAACATATAAAAATCTACTTATTTTTGAAAAAACATATAAACACTTTTGACATATCAATATTCCTAAGGCTGGAACGTAGCGACTACTTTAAGCATTTTAGTTTTACCGATTTTTGTCGGTAACTCAAAAAATGAGTTAGAAAATACCACTACAGGTCGAGCACTTCAGAAAATGGTTGCCACCCAACATACCAAATTGACTTGAGAATAATATTTTAATAAGCTTACAAACATAAGCCTAAAGCTTGAGAAAATCTTGAGAATGTATTGAGAAATGTTTGTTTAACAATTATAGAATAATCGAAAAGGAACCCTTATTCATAAGCTTATTCTTGTAATTGCAGAATAAGCTTACGAAAGTAATATTTTATAAAGCTTATTTTTTCAATGGTAAAAAATATTTATTTATTCATTTTTTAATTATTTTACACATTTCATTCATTGATTGCCATTCCAGCTGTCACTGCATCCTGTTGCTTTGATACCTAGATGCTTTCTTTCACCTTATTTGAGCTTCTGTATCTCCTCCACTTATTCTTCACTTCTGTTGAATTCCTGCAACTTTTTGACGCCTCCATTCTGAAATGAGATTGAAATAATTTATACTACAGATTCCCAGATTTATTATTCATCATTACCTTAGAGTTTCGTCCGGAAATGGGTCCTAAATTCGCGTGATTTTGATTTTAACCAAGGAAAATAATTTTTTGTTGAAAATTTTCACAAAAAAAATCAAAACAAATTTGTCAACAAAGGACAGATTTGAGAAAAGTTTGTGCAAAAAAGTGTTTCTCAAGCATTGTTGAAAAATTCTTATGATAAACTATTTTCATAATATTATTCTCAAGCTATATTGTATTTTTGGTATGTTGGGCATATTCGTTTTAGCAAATAAGTCCATTGAAGAATTAAATATTATTATTTGTTTTTCTCAGATTGCTAGATTTTAATGAATGTTTTTGCAAAATTTTCACGCGAGGGAGGAAAATCTCTCAATAAATGTTTTTTTTTCAAAATTATTCATTTAACATCTCATTGCCAAAATGTATATTTATAAATACATTGCATACACAGAAATCAGAGATGGGAACCTGTTTTTTATCCAGTGAATTGTGACAAGGTAAATTACAGAAAATTCAGAGATGAATAGTCTTATTTGAAATGGCTTTACTTTCTTCATTTTACCATGGGATGGGCATTTAATAAAAAATGAATATGTAGCGTAATTGTTTTTATAGAGCTTTCAGATTTATTACTAAATCTAGATTTATTCAACCAGATTTACAAAAATACATCGGAAACATCACTGGGTAGAGCACATGGTAAAAGAAAATAGGTAGACGCATTGATACAGCTGCTGGGACAAACCAATTTTGGAATATAATGTTGAATGAAAAATTATTAAAATTTTAAAAATTCTTGAAAACGCGAATTATAATAACCCCCGAATGATGTCGTATAAGAAAACATATAAAAATCTACTTATATTTGAAAAAACATTTAAAATTTTTTGACATATCAATGTTTCCAAGCGTTGATGCATCTACCTGTATTCTTTTACCATGGTAGAGCATAAGTACTGCGGCTATAGGAAACAATTTCGGTTAAAATTGTCGCTAATATCAAAATACCGAATAAAGGGTGGTATTATATTTGGGCTATACGTAGAAGTGTATCTGTATAGACAAATTTTTGTCTTAGGTTGTAGCATGGTTCAATGAAGACACGGTAGTCTAAGTTAGAACATTTTGCAAGAAAAGAGGCCTGCCCGTATGGATTGTAATGTCAGAATTACTGTCAAAGCAAATGCAACAAAATAATAATCAATCAAATAAACATTTTGAATAAATAATAAAAAACGCGAAAATTGGATAATTGACTTTTCAAAATATTTTTTCTATATTGCTCCGAATATTTATTTCG